GCTCTTCCACAAGGAAGCACGGATCACTTCCTGGACCCAGCCAACAAACTCAGCCCCGCATTATACTATGTAGCCACGAGGGGCAAAGGTCAAGCACAGCCATGGTGGACCACGCACTTTGAAGCGCCTTGTCGACATCATCACGCCTCACCAAATGGGAAGTCATCCATACAACTGGGACCACAACACATGGCCAGGAACATTCGGAGACTGAGCCAATCCAGCTACGGCTAGTTTTAATGTTAAACTGTTCACTGCCTTGGGGGACCTGACTGAGAGGTGGTGATGATAATAATAATTCTGGAAATTTTGAAGCTGAGGGAGGGAGGGGGGAGACTCTCCCCCATTTTTTTAATTTAAAAAAATCAGAAAAGAGGCAGTCGGGGAGGAAAAACCTGAAATCTACTTTCTTGAGGATAAAGAAGAAGAAGAAGAGATTGGATTTATATCCTGCCCTTCACTACCTAAAGGTGTCTCAGAGCGGCTCACAAACTCCTTTCCTTTCCTTTCCCTTCCCCACAACAGACACCCTGGGAGGTAAGCGGGGCTGAGAGAGCTCTGACAGAAACGGCTCTTTTTCAAGAACAGCTCATGTCAGAACTACGGCTTGCCCAAGGTCATCCAGCCAGGTGCAAGTGGAGGAGTGGGGAATCGAACCCGGTTCTCCCAGATTAGACACTCAACCCCTACACCAAACTGTGGTGTCTTGCGAGCAAAAATTCTACTCTGTGAGCTACTGGCATTAAAGTTGTAAGCGAACAGTTTGGCTGCTGCATAAATTAGTTTGCTCCGGAGCCGTCCTTCCTGAGCTGAGACAGAAATGTGTGAGCCAGAGGCTAAAAAACTGTGAGCTAGCTCACACTAGCTCAGCTTAGAGGGAACGCTGGTCCCCACTGGAGAGGAAGGCAAGGCATGCATGAAGTAAATACGTTTCTTATGAAGCGTAAACTTATTTTAGGGCTTCAACAACATAGTACAGTTTTGTATGCCAAGTTGCATAATTTGACATATTTATAGAATTTAAAAGAGGATTAAGATTCCCACTTAAGGTCATTTTCCTGCAAGTGAGCCCCACTGAAGAGCATGCGAGTTACTTTTATGTAGCCCTGCTTATGAGTACTCCCTTAATCTATATATCTAATAGCAAAGTTGCCTCCTGAGTGCAGATCGCTAAATCAACGCTCCGGGGGCACTTGGTGGGGAGGGGGAGGTTTGTACACACGTGGGCCAGTCCCCACGTGTGCACAAAAATCTAAAAAGTTGAAAAAAGTGACAGAGCGTCCCCGCTCTGTAGCTGGCCTCGCCGCCGCCACCGCGCCCGGCAAAGGGGGGGGGAGGACCGGCCTCTCCGTTGCTGCCTGTGCCTCGGAGCCGGGCGGGGGGGAGGACCGGCCTCGCCGCCGCCTCAGGGAGATTGAGCGGGGGGGGGATGGAGGAGACAGAGCTCTTCTCCCCCCCACAAGTATCACGGGTCCCCCTCTTGTATACTATTAGTATTGGTAGAAATTGTCATTTTTAACAGGTTTTATGTCAGAGAATGATGGCATTTTTCAACTACTACTTGAATTATAGGATTATGATTGAACAAAGTTTGAGTCCAGTGGCACCTTTAAGACCAACAAACTTTAATTCTTGGTACATGCTTTCGTGCACATGTGCACTTCTTCAGATATCACAAGAGCTTATACCCAGTGTAACGATATGAGCTTATGTTTGTATTTCTGTATAGTGGTGATGCTGCTTATGTGTGTCTCTAGCATGAATACCTATGCAATATGTATTCAGGGATTGCTGTTTGGTTGTGTTGCTTTGTTCTGCATCTCATGCTTGCCTAGAAATAGGCTGGCCTGGGCCTGCCGTTGCACATACGGACCATGTGCGTCCCTGGAATGTATCCCATGACTCTGTGGGATGGAGAAGACACCGCGCCATTGCACCCACTTGGAGAGCTATGGAAAATCCCCAGCGAACCCCGGCATTCTTGGAATGGAAAGAGCAAGTGACCCTACTCCCTTAATCTGGTTTGGAGATCTAAAGACAATAGCGTTTATGGCTTTGGAGCAGGAACCAGATCTGCAAATCAAGAGGGTGTCCATGGGAACGGAAGATTCACACCTTGCCAAAAGGCACCTTTGATGTAGGAGTAGGATCTACATATTGCCACCACCCCTCAGGAGAGCGTCACCCCCTCGTCATCCCCTCGTCACCCCCTCTTCATCCAGTAGTGATAGTTTAGAGGACGGGTTTGATAGTTTATGGCTGGATAGCACATGCCCCAAAAAGAGTTTATTTAAGGAGAAACTCTCCTTTGTCTCTCTGGTTAACCCACCCTCCCCATAGCAGTGCACTAAGGTGCTACAAGTGACTCTACTACCTAAGTTCTCCGGAGTCGCGACCCAGAGAGCTCACACGTGGTTTGGCTGGTCCTACCTGTGTGCCTTGGAGTTCACAAGCTGCTGCATTTCGGCTGCCCAGCGTTCCAAGGAGGAGAGTTCTTCCTCAGCTGGACCTCAGATGAGTATAGCCGTGCCCCATTGTGTCATCCCCATTTTGATGCTTTTGTTATTTTCTATGCTGTAATTGTTCTAATGTACTATTGTAACTAAGGAGCTTGTATGAATTTGTATGATTCCGATTTTGTATGCCTGATGAAAAACCTTTAGTAAAGACAACATTTATTTAAGGACTAGCGTGTTGTCTCACTTCCTGGGATATAGCCGAGCGTCTCATTCGCCATCCGACCTCTGTATAGACTGGTATAGAACTTACGCACAGCCACAAACACCCAATTTTCCTTGGTAGATAACTTGGATTGGGTCTCCAGGAATTTCCTGGAGAAGTTGGCATAACAGATCTGGTGCCCCGTGTGAGGCGACCTTTGGACCCCTCGGAACCAGTACCCAACCATTTGGTTCCGAAGGACCCAAAACGTGGAGAAACGATCTGGTCGTTTGGACGCTCTAGCGTAGGGAAGTGTGAGAGGTTTCCGTCTGCGTGCTTGGCCTTTAGTGGCATCTGTACTGCGGGAGGGATTTCTACCCCTTTCCCTCTAAACCCAGGAGCATCCTCGGTTTCGCGCTCCGATCCTATCGTTGTGGGTGGACACCGAGGCGCGACTACGAAGAGGACCTGGTTAGGGACCCCCAGTTGCACAAGCACTACATACACGCAGGAACATATAAACCCCTGTCTCCTTAAAACGCTCCCCGACTTCGGTGCCCAGCCAAGAGGCTGCGCCCGTAATATTCTCCCTCCCCCGAAGCGAGCTGAGGACAACTCGCACGGGATCGGCACAAGCTGCGCGCTGTAGCCGTCCCGTCCCTAGGAGCTAAGTTCTCCAGTAGGGAAAACCTCACTATCTGGCGCAGTTGGGTCTGCCAAGGGAAAACGGGACTGATCCCCCCGGAATTCCAACACCCTTCAAGGACTACGGTCCAGGTTCTGGTTGCTCCTGGAAAGGAAGTAGCTCTTCCTTATCCGCAAAGCCTGAAACTCAGGCTACCTAGGGTTGAAATACCCTCAGGTACAGCCTTGATCTCTGTACGCCTGTTTGCCAGAGATCTAAACGGGTGGTGCGATCGCAAAGGTCACACCGTCCACGGTTCTTGGATAACCCGTGAGGAAGAACAGCGTTCTTTAACTCGGAAAATCCACACGTGCAAAGGGTAAACCCTTTTGCCTGAATTAGTGCCGTCACCGAGGTTATACTTGCAGCTGACCCGGCGTGAGCCATCTCGGACACCCGGATACCACTGTAAGATACCCGCGAGTGAGCACTACCCCCGCACACCAATCATGGGTGCACAGTCGCCAATGTTCAGTCACGGCCAGGATACGTTCCTACAGTTCGTGCACAATGTGCTGGAGTCTGCCGCTTGGTGGGATTCGTCCACCATTTGGCTGCCAATGTTTTGGCATACTCTCACAGCTGTGCTATTCTTCGGACTAGGATGGGTATCCTCCCGACAAGCATGGGAACGACTGAAGCTTAGCTGGATGGCCCAGCTAGATGCAGCGCAAGGCCATATCGAGGCTCTGTTTAACCAAATAGTCGACAAGGATCACCAGTTAGGGTCCGCCCGCGAGCAAGTAGGATCCCTCAATCATGAACTGGAGGAGACGGCCAAACAGTTGGATGCATTCAAGGACCACACCAAGGTTCTGAAGGCTCAACTGGCCGAAAAGGAAAGTCAGTTGCGCACGGCTCAAGATCGCATTGCAGATCAAGCGGCACAACTGAGTGAGAGGGACCAACAAATAGTGCTCATGAAAACTGGACACGAATCCACAATCAGACTAATTAAGGAAGAACGGATTGCCCATATACAGTCCCTAGAGGAGTAATGTTGCGTGTGACCGCAGCCTGAATAAAATTTCCTGCTAGGTTCTTGATATGATCTGTTTTCATTAGGCCTCCTAGATCACACACTAACACTGAAACAATTCATCTAATCCATAGAGATACAACACATGATATAAACACCAAATTTGCTGCTGGCCTCACCAAAAATAATTAAAGAATTTATTTTCCAGCTATGCCAGATATTTAGGAGTGCTTCATTTCCAGCAATTAACAAAAATGGGTTCAGTTTTTAATAGGAAAAAGAAGCAAGCTGTACTCAGGAAGAGGGGTATTAGCAGCAAAGGAGGCTTATCCTCAATCTAAATGGTAAAATGTACATTTTGGGGGAAATGTTACAATTACGTTAAAAAAATTACCATGGGACATTTTGTAAAGAAATATAAGTGGTTATGGGTTAACATTTGTTTGTACATCTGATGGTATCCAACTGATGTTAGAAATATATGGAGTTCTAAACGATTAGGGGAAAACTTCTAGATACCTCCTTTGAAATTATGAGCAAAGAAAATTTAATATAGAGATTTTCCATCTGGACACTTGCATACTGAAAGAATTAGATCTATAGCAGGTTATGATTAGAGCTGAAACACACACATGAAAATTAATTCAAATTTGCAAACACAAATCATGCCAAAATACATAAAAGGCAACATTTACAACACTGACATTTGTCACAACATTTGGGTGATGTGGTGAAACCTGACTCTTGTAATGCAGACAAATCTAACTTTGCACCCTGTTTTTATACTAGAAACTAGACATTTTGGGGGAAACAGCTATATTTCACAGTCTTTATTTCCAGAAGGTCCCTTACACATCAGCACATTTACTTGTTTCAGCGTAAAACCAGAGACATCAACAATTTTCTATGGGGGCCCTCCAGCCGCCCTCATGTAAACCTTCATATTCAGCATCAGTTATCTCTTCCCCAGTAAAGTCATCTCCTCACCAGTTAGTCTCAACTTGCCTATCTGAACACACAGTGCAAAAGAAAATGCAAGCTTCTAACTTGAGTATATTGATAATCACAAAAGTCAGAATAATAGCTAACTTCTCCATTTTTGTTTCTAACCCTAGCCATTTATATCTGGTACTAGAAATAATGCCCGTTGTGGAAATAAATACAACGAGATCTAGAAAGAGGCTCTGGGAGAGTGCTCTGGCTTTGGGCAAACAGTGTCAGTCTGCTTTTAAAACATGAACCTGGGACCTGCACACCACCAGAATACAGCAGGTTCCATATGCAACTGACATTCCAACTGCCTTGGGGGGGGGGAGTTTGAGGTGTGGAATGGAGTGAAGTCCAATCAGCTTCCATATGCAAAAGACCAGGTTGTCGCAGCAGTTGTGGTGTGGGCGGGACCCGGGCTTTGCCTTCTGATTGGTGGCGATATATGCTGAGGAGCAGTGCCATCAGCCATACACTAAGGGAGTGCATTTTAGAATTAGAACTTTGGCACCCACTATTCAATTATATATAAGGAGAGATTCTTATTGTGTATTAGAGTCCATTAATAACAAACAGGAATCTCCCCTTTTTAAATGCGGATGTGTTTTCTAAATAACTAAGATAATTTCTAAAACAACCAACGCCAAAATTTCTTACAAGCAAGACTCCATAATTTCAAATCCACAGGATCAATATTTCTCCTAAGGCAAGGCAAGAGTTCACAAAATATACAAACTGGCTCACAACTCTGCGATCTTTATCACTCAGAATGCCTTCATTGCAACCACAGGACATATTGTTGTTACTTAACCTCAATCCCTGACTTTTCATGGCCGGCTCCGCCTCCTGCAGTGGCCACTTGGTGACTGGCCCCGCCTACTGTGGCAGCCATCTTCTGACTGTGCTCCCTGCCCTCTGTCAGGATTCCCAAAGGGCCTGGCAGTCTCCCTGCACCGGAGAAACAGTCCGTGGCAGCTACGGTGAAGGGTCTCTGTTTCTCTTGATTACGTTAGATTTAGACATAACTTTACCTAACCCTGTAATTCCTGCAGTTCATTGCCCCCCAATCCTGCTGCTCACACTTTTTCTTTCTTTTCATAGCCTCCTAAACCTCTGTTTAGTTAATGGCCCATTACAGGCACCTGAAGAGGTGGGCCCTAGTCCACAAAGACTTGTGCTACAATGAAAACATGTTAAGTTTTTAATATTCCACAAGACTCTGGTTTATTTTTTGCATTCTAGGGTTTTCATCAACATTTTCCGGACTGTTTTTGTGCCAGTTTGTGCCAGGGGGGAGCGGTGGCACAGAGGATTTATCCTCTGGTTATAATAGCAACATCTGAGCTGAACAAGCTTGCTGTAAGTTCTAGCCCCGCGCTGGTGGGAGCTACCAGCCCTGTCCCCAGCTCGCCGTCTACCCAGCGGCTTGAAAGCTTCGGCGAGTAGATAAAATGCCGGCCAGGCGGTGGCAGTGCGGCGCTACAACTCAAGGGAGTCTGGAGAAAAGCTGATGCCATTAAACCAGGCCAAGGAAAAATGCCGTCCGGATCACGCCTTATCTTTAAAACTGAACGAAACCCTTGTCGGCAGCGAATGTGTGTGGATTAACATGTATATATGTTGTCCTCCCCTACCCCACAAATCATTGTTAGTCCCTCGTAATATTGAGTAACTGTAAATCGTTCAGAGCCAGCAAGCTCTGCAGGATTGAGCGATCAATAAATTGAAAGATTATTATTATTATTATTATTTAAAGCTTAAAACAAAGCAGTTGGCCACACTGGTGTACCTCCTGATGGCACCTGGGTTTTGGCCACTATGACACCGAGTGTTGGACTGGAGGGGCCATTGGCCTGATTCAGCACGGTTTCTCTTATGTTCGGTACAAGGCTGTCTAGTCTGAACAAAGTGCTATTATGGGTTCTTAGAGCTACAATCTCATTAAGCACTCCCAGGTTCGTTTTTTTTAACTTCCTGATACTCTGGGGCCTCCATCTTTTAGGTTTGTTGTGATAGAAAATTTGCAAACATGCTATTATGGATCATAAAGGTGGTGCAGGTGTAACTCTGGTTCACTACCAAGTGGAAGACAATACTTAAGATCAACACCAAGCAAAGTGATATGATGAATGAATGAATGCTTCTGAGGGACTCAGAGAGAATCCATAACTGACCACAAGAGGAACTCCGGTGAATAATCAAAGCGGAACATGTTGTCGTCGTCTTCCACGTAGTTCTCGTTCAGCATGGTGTACAGCTCCTTGAGCTAAAGAAACCAGACAGAAGTGTGATCTGCTTCAGGAGGAGAAGCTGCCTCTTAAGACAACAGCATAAACCAATAAGACACAAAGGGCAAGAATTATTACAGGGCTGCTGTGGGGGAGATAGAACTGCACACTAAAACAGCACTGGGCAGAGAAACGCAGGAAACCCTGGGTTCAAGTCCTGCCTGTGGTTTTTCGGCAAGTTGTTCTCTCAGGCTCCATTCCCTATCTGGGATCCTAAGCACTGACCTCACAGAGCTATTGAGGACCAACACAATCACAAACCAGCTTGTAGATTAAAAATGCGATAGGAGGACATTTCTTTAAAAAATGAGAAGATAAGACGGCAAGGCTCAAGCGGCAGCAACAGGCCACTTTCATAAAAGGTGCAACGATCAACCAAAACGATCGCTAAGGTGCTCGGATGCCCCGTGTCTAAATCAGCAAAAATGGTTTGGAACCTGGTTTGGAACAGATGTGAAGACCGTGCGGAGAACAGGACTGGAAAAGCCACAGGTAACAGGAGGGCCTGACTCACTCAAGCAAACGAGCCAAGCTCAACACTACACACATAAAGGAGAAAATCCTCTCCAACAAGCCAAGCAACGTTAAAGGAGAAAATCCTCTCCAACAAGCCAAAACAAACCCATTTTCAAGTCAATCAAGATGCATCGCCGTGTGAAGTCTGCCTGTAGCAGTAGAAAAGAGCAAGAGTCCAGGAGCACCTTTACAGACTGACAACACTTGCAGCAGGGGAGGAGCTTTTGAAAGCTCCTGGCCCAGCGGTGGTGAACCTATGGCACGGGTGCCAGGGGTGGCACTCAGAGCCCTCTCTGCGGGCACGCGTGCCATCGCCCCGGCCAGGCCCAGACCATCATTAAAGTGTCGAATTCTCTGCCAAATAATTTTAAGTAAATGAAAGCATTTGGGATTGCTTTCCTTACTTTGTTTGGATCATCTTAAGTTAATGTATGAGGTTTTTTTCTAACAGTATTCAGGTTAAATGGCCGTGTTGGCACTTTGCAATCAATAAGTGGGTTTTGGGTCGCAGTTTGGGCACTCGGTCTCTAAAAGGCTCGCCATCACTATCATAGCCTGTCACAAATTTTGTGGATCTTCAAGGTGCTACTGGACTCTTGTTCATTTCCCACGTGAAATTTGGAAGGCGGCAAGGAGAGGGGAGAAACTGACAGGTCAAAATGAAGAAGGGTGAAGAGGCTGAGCTCGACAGCTTGGCTGTGGTGTGGAGAGGGGGAGAAAAGGAATCGGACCAGATAAGGTGGGGGGCACCTACTTGTGTTGTGAAGAACACAAAGGATCACGGCTCTGAGACCGACACAGGGAATGACAACAGAACTCCACTTAACGATAGGGGGGGGGGGGGCGCCAGGAGAAGAGAAGAAGGAAACTGTTCCAAAGGAACAGAACAAATTTAGAGTCCAAGGGCACCTTTAAGACCAACGAAGGTTTATTCAAAGCTGGGCTATTTTGGGGCAGGAACGCACAGAAACGGAGTTCCGGCTGGCTCCCGAGTTGGCCACGCCCAGCAGGGACTCATTAGCATAATAGGCCACACCCAACAGCAGAAACTCATTAGGATTGGCTACATTAGGGGTGTGTGGCCTGACATGCAAAGGAGTTAAAAAAGCCCTGGGTTTTGTCAACAAACAAGGTAAACAGAATAAGAAGGAAAAGGTGGGTGTGGCTGGATGACCACACTTCTGGTAACATGGGGGTGTGGCCTAATATGCTAATGAGCTGTGCTGTCATGGGTGTGGCCTAATATGCTAATGAGTTCCTGCTGGGCTTTTTCTACAAAAAAAGCCCTGATTCAAAGTATGACTTTTCGTTTGCCCACGAAAGCTCATACCTTGAATAAACCTTTGTTGGTCTTAAAGGGGCTCCTGGACTCTAAATTTGCTCTTGCTGCTTCAGACCAACACGACTGACCACCTGGATCTGTTTCAAAAGAGGGAAAAAACCCTTACGGGACAGTTACTGCTCCCTCATTCCTACTCACCACACCTCGATCCCCCAAGTCCAGGGCATCCCACATAAAGCCCTGAGGCAAGGTGTAGGGCTCCTGGCGGATGTGGTCCTTGTCCGGCTCGACGGGCCCGTGAGTATTCACTACTTCTCCTGGGTTAGGGAAAAGGAAAAGGGAAAGCAGGCTTCCTCCGTGCACAGCGAACAGTCTCCCGTGGGGATGCTAACACTTTGTCAGACTCTTGGAGAAATCAGTTCTTAACACCATTCACTTCAGGGAAGGATAAGTTTATTGAGACATTGATAGGATCCAGCCTGTACACTGGCTGTGTTAGAACTGAAGATGGGAACGTGAAGACAATAAACATACAAGGTTCAAACAGGGACCCAGGGCCTGCCCACCCGCAAGGCAAACTAGACATTTGCCTAGAGCGTGGCGGCCTTAAGGGCGCCCAACCATGCCCCCGCCCCCATCAAAAGCCGCCACCTCTTTCTCCCCCCCAGCATGTCCCGTCAGGCTGCTGGTCCCTCTTTGTCCCCTATGCGGCCAGCATCTGGGCTCCAAGCGAGAAGCGGCTCTCCCAGCAGGAGCTCAAGGGGCAGCCCCAGCCACGCCTTCAGAGGCCGACTGGGCGAGGGCGAAGTGCATCGAGCAGGAAGCCGCATCTCTTGAGGGCTTTCCCCATCCCAGTCCTCCCTCCTGCTGCCCTGGAGAGTCCCCGCACAGGGGGCGCAGGTGGGGAACGCCCAGGCCTGGTGCTGGGTCCCACCCCTGGCAGGCCAGCCCTTCATTGACTCCTAACCCGGCGGTGGGCCCTCTGCACGGTGGTACAAGCGCTGG